TCATCACCACTCCTGCTTAGGACTGGCCCCACATCCCTGCAGGGTCAGTCAGAACAGGGGATGGGTGATGCAGCTGCAAACTCACTGGTCAGAGAAAAGAGAAGTTGTTTTAAAAAAATCTGCTCTGAAGGGACCTCAGGCTGTGCTGGAGGAGATTGGGAAGCTGCAGAGTGGCAGGGGTTGAAAAGCTGAACAAAATCCTTGGGCACAGCCTGTGTTTAGATCAGGCTGAAGGAATTGTTGTGTGGAGACCCAAGGGGATAGCAAAGCACAAATTCCCTGGTTTTAAGGGCCATGTGTCCCTAGAAATGTTGAGGATTCCATCCTAGAGTCCATGGATGAGTGTAGTGACCACTGGCATTGCCAGCAGCTATTCCTGCCATTCCCCAGTGGGAGGGACACCAACCCTTCTACAGCTGTAAATCTGTTCACATGTGTTAACTCCACTGTGGTTTAATCATGTTTAAGATCTGAAGATAGACCTGAGGTTCCATTCTTGCCTTGTGCACCACAAAAGCAACAAAAGAAAACCCCTGAGCTCAGCAGAGCCCAGACGGAGTTTGTAAGGTTTATATAGGAGATAGATCCTGTTACCAATACGCACCACTCCCTCCAAACACAGCTTCACAAGACATCCCAGAGGGTTTTAAACAGAAATGTCCATCCCTGTGCCTGACACTGCTCCTAGAAAAGCCTGCAAGCCTCATTTCCAGAGGGGAAATAAATGCTTTGCCCAGGTCCTCTGTGTCTGCAAGTGATCGAAAAGGTTTGTGTGGGGAGCATCATGCCTGTTTTGAAATCAAGTGGTCCCAGGAAGTTTTGGGAAGTTTGGGAGTCTGGTATTGTACCAATCCCATCAGAGACTGCTGGTGCTGGCTTGCCTCACTCTCTCCCTCCTCTGCCTTTGTTGAAGATGGGGTGGCTGAGAACAGAGAGAGGGAAAATCAAAGGGATCTGCATCTTCCCTCCTTTCTCTCCTCCGATCCACATCCTTGCCAAAGGAAAGTGTGAGAGATGTTGGCTGGCACCCAGAGGGGTTCTGAACTTCCTCCTTCATGGGCAGGCTGGTGTGATCTCCTTTGGAATAGTAGCTGATAGGGGCACCCCACCCAAAATGAGTCACTTGGGGGAGTTATTTAGATCCCCATTCCCTCCTGTTTGCTCTGTGGGATATGAGGAGTCAGGGGATGGAGAAAGGGATTTCAGCTATCCCTGCTGCTGTTCAGGGCTGCTCTTGAAATCTGCAGGAAGGCCTTGAGGTGTGTAATGCTCATGTGCAGGTCTCCACCAGCCTTACACACAGATCTCTGCAGGGTCAGGACCTGCCTTTTGCTGGGAGATTCCTTGGAAAGGGGGTGAAAGAAAGTTCATACCCTCCAGCTATAACTCCTGGATCCTTTCCCTCTTAGTGATGCTGATCTGGAGATTATGAACTCGTTTTGCAAGCAGTTTTGCCTCAAAAAAAAAAAAAGAGAGAGAGAGCTGGAAATGTTCCCTCTGACCTTGAGAAAATGAGAGTTTGATGACATTAGAAAGAAGCATTTCAAATCCAGAAATATTTCCCTTTTCAGCTGGGCCTTGTTCAGTAAATTGCCATCTTTACTGTGTCATACATGCATCCATTTTCAGTCAGTGAAAGGCAGAAGCACAAATCCCATCCCAGGCAGCTGTCCTCCATCCAGATCTGCTTCTGACTGGGAGCAGGAACTCATTTCTTCCTCTCTACTTAGCCACAATTGATTAAGGATGGTAAAAGAGTTTATTACTTCCTAATATCATCTGGGAATGATTTCCTTATGTTTTATTATTCTCCAGAGAGAGCAGAGCTCCTCTGTGCCAGCAAAGTGGGGTGCAACATTGCTGAACCCCAATTGAGTTGTGTTTAAGGAGAGGTTGCAGGTCGCCTCTCACAGAAAGCTGCATTTCATCCTTGGTTCCCAGACACCTCACAGGATCCTTTCCACGGGGAAATTAAGCAGACACACTTCATATCCAGTGCATCTGTTTGTGGTGTTAAATTAAAGTGCTGCTATTGCAGAGAGCCATTCTGGAGCTGAGCTGTTGCTTAATTGTTTATGGCCGTGGATGCCAGCCAAGCAGCAGTCCTGGAGTGGCAAACACTGCAAATCTGACCTGGAAAACAGATGTTTGGGCCAAAGCCAAGGTGGTTTCAGGAAAGACAGTGGGAGAAAGAGAAAAGCAGGAAACCAGTTATCTGTCTGATTTATTGGGCAGGGTAAAGAAATCCAACCCAGAGCAGAGTGCTCACACGAGGCTGGGACAGCAGTAAATTCTGGTTTTAGCAAGCTTGATCCAGCCTTTGCAAGGTTTAGGAGGGCAGCTGTTGGTTTATCTGTGCTGATTCTTGCTGTGCCAAACCCACTGTTTGCTCTGCAGCTGGTGGAAAGTTCTCACCTGTTTGCTGGAGGCTGCAGAGCATCTCCTGCAATAAACTGGTTTTTGTGAAGTGTGACCGTGTTCACAGGGTTTCTTGGATGAGGGAAGAGATGAAGATCTGGCTCCATGTTTCAGAAGGCTGATTTATTATTTTATGATATATATTACATTAAAACTATACTAAAAGAATAGAAGAAATTATTTCCTCAGAAGGCTAGCTAAGAAGAGAATAGCAAAGAATGATAACAAAGGCTTGTGTCTCAGACTCTCTGTCCGAGCCAGCTGGATTGTGATTGGCCATTAATTAGAAGCAACCACATGAGACCAATCACAGATGCACCTGTTGCATTCCACAGCAGCAGATAATCATTGTTTACATTTTGTCCCTGAGGCCTCTCACCTTCTCAGGAGGAAAAATCCTAAGGAAAGGATTTTTCATTAAAGATGTCTGTGACAGTGAAGTCCCAGCACAAGTCTCTCAAATTTGATACATTGAAATTTTAATGGTTTGAGGAATATGATCAAAACTAAATCTTGCAGTGAAAGTGCTTCATGTGAACAGATCATCCCCAGGTATTCACATTGGCTCTCATAGAAGGGAAATCTCACATTGGTGGTTCCAGTTCAGGAGCTGAGGGTGCCAATTTCCCCCTGTTCCTCTCTCAGGAGCCCAGGGGACTGCCTGACGTGGGGATGCAGATGTTGCAGACATCTGGGTCTTGGTGAGATCTATCCCTCCTGTGTCTCCACAGAACCACAGGCTGCCTGAGCTTTGAAGTGACCTCTTCTTGTCCCCTTCTTGTTCCTCTTCTTGTCCCCCTGCTTGAGCTCTGAAGTGACCTCTTCTTGTCCCCCTCTCCTGCTGAGACAGGGACACCAGGACCTGCCCTGAATCATGCCCAGATAGATTTTGAATATTTCAAGAATGAAGATTCCATGACATCTCTGGGATACCTGATCAGGAGGTGCTTGATTGCACAGAGCCAAAATGAAGAGTTGCACTGGAGGGGAGGGAGGGGACATCCGGCATTTAAGATGAAGGAAAGTTTTAAATGCCACTGCTCAGAGAGCTGATCCACAGATCTGAGCATGTGCCTTGTAGCACATCCAAGCTGTGATTTTTGGAGCAGTGATAGGAGTATTTAGCAGGACAAGAGGCTTTCACAGTTCTACCAGTGTTGTGAATACATTGATCTAATTGAAGTGTGATGAATTGCAGCTCAAACATTTAGTCCTAATTTTATTTCTTTTATACCTGAGTCCATAGTCACCACATTTTATTGCTGAGGAGCCATCAAAATATCTTTGGATTCTTTTAGCAGCACTCATGCTCTTAGATGCCCAACACACTGACTAATAATTCTGACTGCCACTCTGAGCTTTTAAAGGGGAATTTGGAAGGTCCTGGTAAGGGAATGCTTAACCCCTTGCACTTCCTCCTGCTCCTGCTTGTGGAACAACAGGTTCCTAAAGCCAGAGGTGTAGGAATTAGGGATTTGGAAGAGGATCATAATTTTCTCTTGCCCAGCAGTGACCAGAATTGGTGGAACATGGTAAGAAAGGACGTTTCTGTTCACACACAGAGATTCAATGAGGATGTTTTCGCTGTTGATTTTAGTCTTTGCCCATCTTTAGCTTTCCACACTGAGGCTACAGAATATGCAGCTCCTTGGATTTCACCTCTGCTGCCAGACACCCTTTGATTTGTTTTTCCTTTTGTGTTTAGACTTCATAGGCTTCTTGCTTTTTGAAACAAAGAAAAAGTCTAAGTAGTAATACGTCTGCATCACAGACAGAGGGGAAAAAAAATTGTATTTCTTATTTAATAATATATTTATATTAAATATATATTAAATATATATAATATATATTATATATTATATGTATAATATATATGTGTGTGTATATATATATATATGTATATATATATGTATATATATATATATATATATATATATATGTATATATATATATATATATTTCCACTGAAAAGATTTTTTCCCTTCTTAATTTGATCAGCTGTCTCTTCTTCTGACAGTTGAGGCAGAACTTTTAGCCTTTTCTTGCCGTGGAGCACTCACAGGACACTCACTGCACTTCTCTGCAGTGCCACAGGTCTAGCTGTGCTTGAGGATCTGTCTAAATGCAAGTGGCTCTCCAAAGCAGCTTCATCAGGCACTTGGCTAATGTGAAACCTTCTTCAGAGATGCTGCCCTCATCCAGAGGAGAACAGGATTGTCTTGATTGCCTGCATCCAGCCTGACCTGGTTCTTTGCCTTTCCCAGCTTTTGGGACTTTGGAGAAGCTCTGATGTTTTTCTGGTTGAGGGCAATGCCACAGGAGGAGATCCATGGCCTCTGCATTTCTGGAGATACACAACAGACATGAGCCACAGGACATTTTCCCTTTCTCTGCCCCAGACACCTGATGGTTTTCTTCTCTCTTAAGTGCAGTATCCAAGAGAGTTTGTGACTTTTTTGCTGTTTTCCTCAAAACTCAGCCTGGTTGTTGGCTAACACAGCCAGGAGCTCAAATGGGAACGAGAGTCTTCAGATGCTGTTTATTGTATAAATTGGCCTGATGTAGAGTAGTAAATTTAGGGAAACCTTCTGGGAAGGCAAATTCTTTGTCAGAGAACACGGACAGTTGGCTTCATGAGCCATCTGTGTCGGAAAACGTTGGAATGTGAGTGCTCAGTGCTTGTGAGTGCTCTGCCAGAAGATTTGGTGTTCCAGCCCCAGCAATAACTGCAGCAGTTTGTCTTTGTCTCATAAAACAGGAGGAAGGAGAAGATCCCATCAGATCCAGGATACAAGTGGAATAACGGCCTGAAACCTGGCCATGTGCTGCCGTAAAGTTGTTCTGGGTTTGGTAGCAGCCCCAGACTTTTGTACAAGGGGCTGATGGAAACTCACCACTCCACACTGCTGGGGAAGAGAGAGGACCCTCAAGCAAAGGGCTGCATCTTGTTTCCTCAAGTTCTCCTCTCTCCTTGATGGTCTTGCCTCCTGTGTCCTTGAACAGAGAGGCAGGTTTTGAAGTCATCCTGGCCAGAGGAGCAGGTATTCATTCTGCTGAAAAAACCCTTTCCATGTTGTCCACAGCAGTGATGAAAAGAGAAGCCCCTCTCAGAGACTGAACTCGTCTGTCAGGAAAATACCATTTGCAGGTAAGAAAATGCTATTCCCAGCAAAAAACCTGGAACTTCTTCCAAGTTTGGCTAGAGAAGCTTCCCTTCACGAAAATATTTTTTAATGTGTAAAATGCAGAAGAGACTTGGCTGCATCCCACACCACAAGTTGTTCATCCTTTTGCTGTTGCGCTTGAACAATGTGTCCTTGTCAATATATTTGACAGATAGCAGCTGGTGATAGCACTGGTGGCTTTTAACTCTGGTGGTCCAAGACAGACATCTGCAGCTGAGTTCAGAGTACGTCTTGCTCCACATTTACTGGAGGAGAAGCCAGGAATGACAGGCTCAGAGGATGAGACAAAAGTTGGGTGGAAAATCCCAGTTTTGGGCCCAGATGGTAAAATGATGGGCACTAGTTACAGCAGTTAGTAATTTCTGGTTTTACTAAATCTTCTCTCTGAAGGCTTTGGAAGACCTTGCAGAGGAAGTTTTGTAGTGTTTCAACCCAGAGGTTTTGTAGTGTTTCAACCCAGAGGTTTTGTAGTGTTTTCTGGCACCTTGATTGTATTTGTTTCTGTTTTCAGCGGCTTAAAATAAACCCTGAGGTGCTGTTTTTTCTGGTGGGGTATTTTGTTTCACTGTCTATACAGTGTCATTCATATGAGCTGAACTTTCTCTTTATAGCTTCACTTGTGAATATGGTTCAGCACCCAGGAATGCCTGAGCTCCTTCCCATGCCGTATATAAATAGTGCACAGTTATTTCACAGTTTCACATTCAGCTTGCAGGCTTCCAACAGTATTCCCAAACCCCTCTCTACGCCCATAGCATTCAGGTTCTCGATGTGACTCAACCTCAGTTACAGCAGAGGTTCACCCCAGGCCAAGCAAGCTCTGATTTGTGACTTCTGTGCATTGTCATCCTCGTTCCCGGCGGTCGGCGTGGAGTCAGTAGTGCTCAGGGCTGCTCCTGTGGGTTTTCCCAGCCCTGTGATGAGTTCAGCTCCGTGGTTAAGCCAAGAGCTGAGTTCCAGTACCTTGGGCACATCCAGCAGTGCTGGCTCAGTCCGTGGAAGGAAGTCAGAGAGGCTCCAGCTGGATGGATAACTAGCGGCTGCTGCCCGACGGAGATAAGGGGCTGCTCAAACCCAGGGGAAGTTTAGACTCTGTCCCAAGTGTTGCCTGTCTCTTGTTTGGCACAGAACTTGTCATGTCTCCCTTCCTGAGGATTGGTTTGTCCAACTATGACAGTGGCCCTTACCTGCCGTCCCAGGGGGAGGTGATTAACCCCTACTGCGCCGTGATGGTCAAAGAAGCCGTGGAGTCAGGTGAGTGGGGAGCGCTTGGGGGCTTCTGTAATTCATGTCTGTGCTTTTCTGGGTCATTTCCTGTGTGTGGGTAACTAGAATGAGCCATAAAATAGGTTGGCTTGGAAGAGACCTCAAAATCATCCATTTCCAACCCCACTTTGTAAAGATTTGTGAAGCCCTTTGTGTGTCCCAGCACAGCTCAAATTTGGTTTGGCGAGGTCTGCAAGGCAATCTGATTTTAAGATGGTGCCAAACAAATCTGTATCTCCAGTTTGATGATATTATCAGCTGCATTACAAGCCCCAGCATGTGACAGAGCAGATGAGCTGAGCTGTATTTGGTTTCACCCTTCTATGACCAGTTGTTGGTTTGTCAGTGGGACTCCAGACAGGTGAAATCTGAGTGCGCTAAAATATTCTGGCAGGGCCATCTTGGTTAATCACTTTTTGGGGGGAAACTGACTGACACAGCCACTTCTATAATTAAAAAAAAAAAAAAAAAGCTAATCAAACAGCCCAGTCTCTGCAGAAATAGTTAATTTATCTGTGTAATTGCTGCGGCTGTGTAAAAGGTTTAAAAATGAAACCTCCCAAGAAGCTGTTTGCTGTGTCTGGATCTATGGATTGTTACACATTTATCCTGGTTGAGCAACACTGATGAGTCCTCCTTCAGAAAACATTTATTCTATGTCTTATGCATGAAAATAATTCCAGTGAAAGGATGAAAAGTTCTCCAGTTGTGCTTTCGAAGGATCATGAAGAGCAAGACCTTCAGTGTTAGGAAATATTTGATAAATTTCTAATTTGACTGCTGTGATTCTTCGAAAAATAAAATCCACTCAGAAATCCCTATTTATTGAGAACCCCCATGACTGTAATCCCCAGAGGATGTTAAAGTGGTTTAAAAAAATTAGAATTTTAAAACAGTTCAGTATTTCACTGGGGTTCATTTTTTGTTTAAGAGTCAGCATTTATCACATTGAACTTTGTCTTGCCTTAAATGATACTTCAAATAATAATGGAAGATGTGGTGAATAGTAAATTCAAAAGGAAAGAAAATACTGCATGACAAGATATCCCTAAAATCTTGCTTTTATCAGAAAATGCATTCTATTTTAGCTCTGTGCAGAGCTTGGCTGTTTGCTTTAATGAGACTTTTGAAAGCCGTAACTCAAATTGAAATCTGTGTCAGTTTTAAAGTGAATAAAATCAATTTGGTCAGAACAGACCTATATTTATTTGTCTGACACAGAGCTGAAAGTGTTTTCTGGTATCCAACAAACACGAAAGTGTTTTCTAAGGGATATAATTTTTGTGCTCCTCAGAGTCAATAATCATTATAGTAATTATATTTATTTTAGTTATTAGTGTAATAATTATAATTATTTTAATTATTATTATAATAAATCCTCCACCAACAAGAAATAAAAAATTGTGTTTGAGGGAACTTTTCTCCATTAGTGAGGGGTGAGTGTAGGAAAGTGACTTTTTGCTATTGGGAGATTTCTGTTTGCTGGGATGAAATTTCATCTGGTGATGGCTCAGAGCATGGTGGGACAGAACCTCCTGGGGCTGATCCACCTCACCCTCCCCTCCTAGGGTGGGCTGAAGCACCTGTGGGAGGTGTTAACCTGCTGGAGGATGTTTAAATGTCTGGATGGACAACTTTACTTTAAGGGGTCTGAGGAAAGTGAGGCTACGACGGAATGCATCCACCCTGTAATTCCCAGGTACTGATGTGTGAGCAATCCCAGCCTGAGGAGCACATCCATGAGGAGTGTGGTGAATCACACCCTGGAAAAGCTCCCCCTGACCACACAGAGCACTCAGAGGTCTCTGTCTGACGTGCGGGGAGATGAGCCTGACTCCAAATCCCAGGAATGCTCTCCGTCACCATCCCAAGGAGGTGTCATGCTCTAACAGGCTTCAAGAAGGCAAAAGGTCTCCAGACAACCATTAACTGCATTGAGGTAGAATCATGGAATCATTAAGATTGGGAAAGACCTCCAATAACGTCAAGTCCAACTGTGAATCCAACACTTCTAGTTCCACCACTAAACTGTGTCTTATTCCTGCTTCATGATCATTTTTCTTTTGGTCATAATTTGCTCTCCAGCTCCCTAATTTGACAAAGAATAATTACTACTCAGTTGTAATTGGATGAAAAAAAAAAATTAAAGATTTTAAAAGTATATATATATATCACTGATATACAAATTTTGGCTAAAATTTTGGCTAAAATTTTGGCTAAAATTTTGGCTTGACCAAGGAGTAGGAGTGGATCAGCTGCACAGCTGGTGAGAGATGCAAATCATCCTGGCCTTGTGCACTGACACTTGGCTATGAAGGAGTTTTTTAGGGCAGAAATGATTGCTGAGCAGGGCAGGACATGCCTACGTGTTCAAGGCCAAGGAACAACCTGGTGTAGTGGAAGTTGTCCCTGCCCATGGCAGGGGGGTGGAACTGGATGGTTTATTAAGGTCCCTTCCAACCTAAACCATTCTGTGGTTCTATGTTTAGCACTGGCAAATTGTGGGGTTTTTTTGGTTTTGTTTTTGTTTAGTTGGTTGGTTGGCTGGGTTTTTACAAACACAACAGTGGTAGATGATAAATGTGTTTCCAAAACCAGTTTGACTTTGGGTTCATGCCAAAGGCTGCCCCTTTGTCAACCAGCCATAAGGAAAAGGTCATTGCTCCCCAGGGATCTGGGAGTGTTGAACATCCTCTGTGGACACAGGGATGTCACAGCAAGACCACAGTGAACAATTTCAGAAGTTGTGGATAGATCTTGGGCAGCCTTTTACATTTTCCCACTTGCTTATTTTATAAAAGAAACCCTGTCACATTATAATGCAATCTGAAAAAAAAAAAAAAAAACAAAAACCCACACCTCCATACAGTTGGAGGTGTTACAGCAATTTATAACTGATGACAAAATATTTCAGAAATTATGTGTGCCTCTGAGATATAAAAAGAGTCTGCCCTTTAAAAGTGGCTTCTGCCTTCACAAGCCACCTGGCTGGGTGCCATTTTGCCACCTGCCTTGGTGACATTTGCTTCATGAAGGCTCCTGCCTCTTGTTTGAACTCAGCAAAGCCTCCAGGAAAAGCTCTCCCAGCCACAGTGGAAGCTGCTCCCTGGGAAAGACAGTTGCAATTTCATTTTTCAGGAGCTTGGGGTTGGATTAATCCCTGGCAGAATTCCACAGCCGTCAGCGGGACGCACCAGGGGTGGCTGTCTGATCCCGTACATGGGGCAGTTCATTCACATTCCAGGGCTTGTTTATTTAAGCCTGGTGTCCTGGAGTGCAACACAAATGAAATCACTTGTTTTGCAAGTGCTGTGTTTCACATCTGTGGCTTTTCCACTGATGCAGCAAAGAAATGATGGTCCTTTACTGAGATTTCTATTTTCCAGGATGCTGGAAATTTATGTCTCATTTTTGTCTTGGATTTTTTGTGAATTAGTCCTCTCATTCAGGGAAAAATTTTCTTCAGCATGTGTTTCCTTCCAGCTGCATGTTCTTTTCTGTCTGGGATTATTGGAAATAGCAGCAGGGCCTTTAGACAAGGGTCACAGGTCTGCTGCTTTTTTTCTCTTATTCCTTCAGCTTCAGCATTTGATGAGTTGAATATTTGCAGAGGGTGTGATATAGAACTTACCTTGAGTAAGCATCCAAGACTTTTACAGGGCTGTATGAAGTAAAACTGGGTCTGTGACATAAATAAATCTGGCTGAGATTCTTTTCAGAGAGATCAATTAGAGAGAAACCTCTGCAAACTTCAGAGATACCCATATTTTTACCCATCACTATATTAAGATGCTGTGAAGGATGAGGAATTAAATAATTAGGGGAGGTTTATTTCATTGAAAACTCTACATCCCTTTGGGATAATTACAGATCTGCAAGACAGTTCATGTTTTAAGGTCCCTTAGTTGGCCACTGGGCAGGACATTAATCCCAAAGTGCACCCAGATTTTGGTGGGTTTGAAACAAACCTGTCTCATTTTGCAGTGCTTTGGGACAGGTGATAAACAAGGTGGGATGGAATTCACCTGATTAGAAGAGGGTGTTTATGGTGCTGGAGTCAGCATCAGAGATCTTCTGAACAGAACTGGTGGAGTCAAGGGTGGAAATTACATTTTTAGGGTAAATGTCTGTATTTGGTCTCATGAACTGCCCTCACTGCATGAGATTTGTGTTTTCCCTCTCAACAGAGAATGGCCAAGTGTACGTGCAGAAGAAGCCCACCATGTACCCACCCTGGAACAGCACTTTTGATGCCCACATCAACAATGGCCGGGTCATGCACATCGTGGTCAAGGACAAAAGTGCTGAAATGGTCTCAGAGACCACAGTGGAGCTGAAGGTGCTGGCAGAGAGGTGCAAGAAGAGCAATGGGAAGACAGAGATATGGGTGAGCATCACTCTCTCCTCCTGCAGGATGTGCTGGGGAGGTGCTGCAGGGCCAGGGGAGGTGTCCTTGTGTCCATGCCAGGCTGTGGTGTCACCAGCAGCACAGGGAGACTGGCTGGAATAATGTTTGGAGACTATTTGGGCATGACTTGAGGGAGACACTTGTCAGAAAAGAAGAGCTTGGCACTTTTATTTTAATTGAAAACTGCCCTGTGCTAGTGAGGATCCTGCTTCAGGTGAGCTATGCCCACGTATTAATCTTTGCTGAGGAAACCCACTGGGAACAAATGTTAGTATGACTGGCTGAACATGAGTTATTTTATGTTCTCTGAGGAAACAGCTTTAAAAAATTTTATCTGATATCAAGTAGCTGATTCACAGCTGCCTGAGTTCAGAGTTATGTCAGAGAAACTCCTTAAAAATCACTGAAGTTATGGTGGTGTAAATTTGAACAGTCTTCACTGGAATGCTGAATGTGAGATTGTGTTCCCTGTTAGTCCAAGCAAGAAAGATCCTGGCAGAAATCTTTAAAATGCAGTATCCAGCTTATATGAATCCAGTGGATTCAGATTTCCAAAGGCACTTATGGATGATGAGTAGGGTAAGTGGGAATTGCCAAGTCCAGGGCGGAGGCCCCAAAAAATGCCTGAATCACACAGAATGACTGGGTTGGAAGAGACCTTCAGGATCGTTGAGTCCAACCCAGCCCCAACCAGACCATGCCACTACAATAATGAGCTTGTAGCATCCCTCAGGTTGACTGTAAAGAAGTTAGACTTGCAGAACTGAGTGCCTAAAAGATTTCAGCATCACCTGTCTGAAGCTGGCTGGGTTTTTTGAACTGCTTCCACTTTCCCCTTGCAGGATCCATTGGGAACAAGTTTTCTATAGATAGTGGTGGTCCTAATTTGGTGTCTAAAAAGCTGCCCACATCTTCTGTGGTTTAATCACATTCATCTCTCCTATCATGCTGCTCTGAGTGTTTGATATGATGAGATCAACCCTCCTCTCTCTGTAGCTGCTCCTACCCTGCTTGTTGCCTCACATGGGTATGAGAAACCTGAAAATTAGCATTCATTGCTATTCATCAGTTCCCACTGGGAAAAGGAGATCGCTTGCAAGTCATCTGAAAAGATTTTTCCTTCTCTGAGTGACTGTTTAATGGACTTTTTTTCTTGTTTTGCACTTATCTCAACCAGCTAGAACTGAAGCCTCAAGGGCGAATGCTGATGAACGCAAGATACTTCCTGGAAATCAGTGGCAAGTGATTCTGTTTGTTAATTTATAGCTGTGATTTCTGGGCTCTGGGGCAGACATAGTGTCTTCACTAAAAGCATTGTCTATGTTATTACTGACTGATCCATAACAACAAACATTAACTGTTTGAAACAAAAACTCCAGAAAAGTGATTTTTATTGTGTGGTTACTATTCTTCTGTGATTTGCAAGGCAGATTTTTTGGCTGGTTTACCACTAAATGGCAGATATTCCCATTATGCTAAACAAGACAGAACATATACATAAGGAGGCAGCTCCCTCTGAAATAATTCTGCTTTATGTACTGCAGGAAATTCATGGAGGGGCTGGAGCATGTCCAGAGAATGGAATGGAGCTGGGGAAGGGTCTGGAGAACCAGGAGGGGCTGAGGGAGCTGGGAAGGGTCTGGAGCACCAGGAGGGGCTGAGGGAGCTGGGCAGGGGCTCAGCCTGGAGCAAAGGAGGCTCAGAGGGCCCTTGTGGCTCTGCACAAGTCCCTGCTAGGAGGGCACAGCCAGGGAACAGGGACAGGAGCAGAGGGAACGGCCTCAGGGAACAGCCTCAGGCTGGCTATTAGGGAAAATTTCTTGTAGAAAGGGCTGCATTCTTCTCTGTTGAAGGAAATGGTTAAATTCAAATGCTTGGTCATATTCTCCCATCTTTGTTGCCAGAATTGTCATACCCTCAGGTGCAGGGTGTAGCTGTGAGGTGCAGATATCTGCAAGGATCTTCCATTTATAGAAACAGAGAAGCACTGAAAGCAGCCATGGCCATGCTGATATTTTCTTAACCATCCCTACCTTTAATATAGATTGGACTGCTGTTAGCGTGTTAAAAGGGGTTAGGGAGGCCAAAGCATAGAAAATGCAAGCTGTGCTTCTACAACAAATATCAAGATCAGCATCAGATCACACAGGGAGCCAGTTCCTACAGGTTACCTGAGTGACTCACTGTGCAGTGCAGGAGTGAAACTAAGCAGAGGTTGATTTTCTGTGTGAATTTCAGATTTGTAGGCAGAAGCAAATGTAGAAGTGCACGTGAAGTCAGAATTGGTTTGTTTGCTGTCCCAAAAAGTTTAAATAACTATGAATTACAACAAGGGCACAGCAAGCAGCAAAGCAAGTGTTGGCATGAAAAAATAACAAGAATATCCTGGGACATAAATATCTGCTTAATGACACATGTATATGCATACAGAAGGGATTCTGTTAAATACCCATAAATATTTATATATATATGTATATATATATATACACATATACACATGTAAGTTTGTGTCCATATATCAGTAATTATTAATTTTTATGGAATTTCATCCTTTTAAGGGCATGTTTCTTCAGCCATATAGAGTTTTATGATTAAATTACTTCTCCTTGGGAAATTTTTATTCTAGGTTTCAAGAGCAGTGTAATGAATAGTCAAGAGATCTCAGTGTCCCAAGTCTAAAGTCATTTTAGTGTAGGAATGGTGGATAAAAACCATCCAAATGAGACTTTTCATAAAATGGGTTTCATAAAATGGTATTTGTTTGAGTATTCATTATCATCATTGAATCATCAGCTTCAGTCACATAGTATTTGGGCAATTTGCATTTTCTGAAGGCACCTGATCAGGACAGGGTACACTTAAATACCTTTCCTCTCCTCCCAGATGCGAAGGACCTGGCTGACTGTGAGACTGAAAGCTTCTTCTCCTTGCACCAGCGCAGGGGAGCCATCAAACAGGCCAAAATCCACAACGTCAAGTGCCACGAGTTCACAGCCACCTTCTTTCCACAGCCCACCTTCTGCTCTGTGTGCCACGAGTTTGTCTGGTAAATGCAAAAGGATCTGGGCTTCTCCTCCTTTGAACCCCAGGAACCCTTTCTGGTGTCACCATGGCGCTGGGGAACGTGGCTTAGTGTTGGACATGGAAATGGGCAACATTGGGGCAACATGGGCAAAATCTGGGTTAGTGGTTGGGCTGGAGGACTTTAAAGGTCTTTCCTGGATGATTTTTGAGGTCTTTTCTAGTCTAAAGGATTCTATGATTCCCTGTTAAATATCTGTGCTCCTCCTGTAAGACCCTTGGCATTTTACGTGTAGAGTTATTGCATCGCTTTAAGGATGTGGTTTTCAGTTGTAATTCCAACTGTGAAAAATTCCCCTCATTTTTTAATTTATTTTTTACAAATATTTTTGGGTTTGGCAAAATGCACAAGCATTTCTCGTTGGTCCAGTTTGCTCTTTGGATATCCTGAAATTCAGGGTGCTGAAAGACTTTGAGAACCATAGAGAATCACTCCACCATTAGATTAAATGACGATAATGAAATTAAATAATCTCTACAAAGAATGATAAAAAAACATGTGATTTTGTTCTCCTTCTTTGATAATTATTGCTCTTCTTTCTTCTACTGAGCCTTTCAGACAACTCAGGATTAACCACTGCTCTGTTCATTTCAGGGGTCTGAATAAACAAGGCTATCAGTGCAGACGTAAGAAACTTTCTTTTGTTTTCTTATTGTCATTATTTACTTAATATTTTCTTAAGGAATTTCTTTATTAACACCATGACACCCTTGCTGTTGCAGAATGTAATGCTGCCATTCATAAGAAGTGCATTGATAAAGTAATAGCCAAGTGTACAGGATCAGCAATCAATAGCAGAGAAACAATGGTAGGTTGTATTACTATTATTATTGTTGTTGTTGTTGTTGTTGCTGTTGTTTTTATTTTATTTTATTTTATTTTATTTTATTTTATTTTATTTTATTTTATTTTAATTATGATTCCCGTTAAAAAGTCTTGAGTGTCATTCAGATCTCTCCTACACCGCTGCAAAGCAACTTCTGATGAAGCAAAATCAAAAGCTAAGGACTCTGTGATCTGATCTGTGCCCTTTGCTTTTTATGTTCCCAGTGATTTCATTACTTCCTACTTAAGATTTGCTCAAATGCAGCTGCAGAATAAGCAGTTGCTGAGTCAGAACTGACATTTTTCTAATGCATAAAGTATAACTCAGAGGGAAGTCATGGGCATGAGGTGGAGAAAATTCTTCACTATCCAATGTTAAGCTGGACATCAGGCTGAATTCTTCACTATCCAATGCTAAGCTGGACATCAGGCTGAATTTTCAGTTTTGTGCTTGAACAAGTCTGTGCTTGTGTTGTTGGAAACAGTCAGTGGGAGATCTGATATCTCTGCTGTTATTTGCTTTATTTTTCTCATGTCAATTTATTCTAAAATTTTCTTTTTGGTAGGCAAACCCAGATCTTAAACTCCTGATAGCACTATTCCCTTTACCTTGTGTCCTACAACTTCTGTTTACTCTCAGTCCCACCCTGGCTACTGTTCTCCTTCTACAGTTTTTATAGATGAGATTGCTCTCCCTTCTCTTCTGACATCTCCAGGGTAGATGTAACTAACTTTGTCACCACTTTTCATACTAAAAGAATCACAACAGGCTCTTCCAAGGAGTGATTCATGACAACAAATGTAGGCATCCGTTGCAGGATGAGGTGAATGATTTTTAAAAGTACCAATGTTTTCCCACTGAGCGTTAGGGGAGGCTGGGTATGTTAATGAGGCACAAGCTGTTTTTTGGTCAAGGCCAGGGATGAAATGACCCAATTCCCTCTGACTGCAGTCACTATGTATCAAAATTTGGGTTTGTGTGCCTGATAAACAATTTCTGCTTGGTAGTCATACCCAAGAATAAAAGAGCAGTAGAGAAAGCAACTTCTGTGGTACAGGTTTGTTTTTCCCCACGGCGCCGAGGTGGAAATGAGGAGTGGATTTTCAGCCTGGCTTTTGTCTTGCAGTTCCACAAGGAGAGGTTCAAGATCGACATGCCCCACCGCTTCAAAGTGTACAACTACAAGAGCCCCACGTTCTGTGAGCACTGTGGCACCCTGCTCTGGGGGCTGGCACGGCAGGGGCTCAAGTGTGACGGTGAGTCCTGGCCAGGGTGGCACCAGCTGGGCGTGGGAGGGGTCGTTGTCTTTGGAGGGTGGTAATCTGAAAATCCAAACCGCATTTATCGCCCTTCTCTGCAAAGCCAGTGTGAGGTGGCACCCAGGAGGGTTTCTGTGGTTGAGATGACCCCCGAGGTATTAAAAGTCTTTTTTCTCAGCCCTGTGACTGAAGAAGAAGTCGAAATTCCTCAGCTCTGCTTTTCAAGGTTGTTTATTTTCTCCTGTCTATTCCACTCTTTCTCTGACCTGCTGAGATCTGTCCAGCAGGTCGGGTTGTGGCACAGTCCCTGCCCTTGGGGTGGTGTTGGCTTTTTATACTAACAACAACATGTACTTTATTTACAAGAATTTTCCAATACCTATAACCTATGTTAGACAGTCTGTCTCTACTCTAAACCAATCCAGAAGTGTCATCATCACAGCAGAAGATGGAGGACAAGAAGAAGGAGAAGGATAGGACATGCCCAGATTCCTCCACCTTGCCTCTTGAACCCCCATTCTAAATCCCCAAAATTCTACTTTTCAACCCTGTGACAAATTAACTAGCATTCTACTCAAACTCTTGTGGCTTGTAAATCCTCACACAAAGTTGGTAATTGTTTCCATGGGCTAAAATCAAAGGCACAGGTGGTTTTGACTCCCTGCCAAGGTCTCTGAGCCCCCTGCCAGGGTCTGGAATCACCCAGGGCAGCCAGAGGAATGTCCTGGGTTCTGACAGCACCCAGGAGGGTGAAGGAGTGGTCTACAGGACTGTCCTTCAAGGAGGATCATTCTTCAAGAATGATCTGTCCATGTGTGAGAGATATTTGATCCAGAAGGATGATGAGTTGATTCCCAAAGAGACAAAGAGCATCACACTGACACTGTTCATCTCCCCAAATCACCCCAGTATGAACTGGCAAGCTCTATTTCCATTGTCAGACCCAAGACATTTCACTGTCTTCATCATTCCAAACCAATGGGAGGATCCTCTTCTGTGATTACAGTTTATCTCTGAGACGGTGCCTTGTAATTTTAGTAGCCTGTACCTGCAGAGGCTGATGGATGTGGAAATGAAACTTCTGGCCAGGAGAAAATACAAAAATAGTCTCCATAGGGAACCAAAAAACTCCCTGAGCGCCATCTCAGGAGCTCTTTAGGTGGCTGATCTCTGTCTCTGGCCAACACTTGCTCCTGCCCAACCCTTCATTGTTCTGACACCTCGTGTTCTCTCTTTCAGCCTGTGGCATGAACGTCCACCACAAGTGCCAGGCAAAAGTAGCAAATCTTTGTGGAGTGAACCAGAAACTGATGGCTGAAGCTCTGGCAATGATAGAGAGCACCCAGCAGGTAAATAGTTGAAGCATTTTTAGATTTTCTTCTAGATTTCGCCTTTTGTGATTCACACTCAAGAAGTCATGGTGTTATTCATAAGCTTGGCACGTGATTTTGGCTCAAAACTTTGCTGGTTTCTGTGCCCCAGGCTCGCTGCCAGCGCGACAGTGAGCAGATCTCCAGAGATGGACCTCTGGAAATTGGCTTCCCTGTTCCTGTGAAGGATGTGACACCACTTCAGGCCCTGCCAGCATCAGGGAAAAAAGGTAACTCCTCCTGGTGATACAGGGCAGAGCTTTTTGTTGTTTGGTTGGTACATGGTGAGTTGGAGGTGACACGAGTGGGGAATTTATTGCCAAGCTCTAAACAGGATATTTGGAATCCTTCTGATCACCGTGGCCAATTTTCTTTCCGATTTCACATTTTTGGATGGAGGTTGAATTCCAATAGCTTTGAAAACCACTGGTAGGCCTCCACTTCACTCACCCAGGAGCTGATCTAGGTGTCACAGCCCTGTGTGGTACAAGAGCAGATGTTTAGGAGGGTGAGAGACTGTGCCCTTTGGACCCCAAGGAGAAATAAATGATGTCCCCATCTGTGTTTATTTGTGTTCTGTTCAAGTAGAACTGGCTGTGCTGATGTGAAGCAGTGAAGCCCCAGGTGGTTTCACATCTGTTTCACATGTGGATGAGTTTGCTGAGTAGTGTTCAGCATTTTAGAGCAGTTACAGCGACGGGATAAATCCAGTGAGGGGCAAAATCTCTTACAAGTTCTTATAAATCCAGGTTAGTGGAGTATTGAAAAAACTCAAGAGTGATTCCACTCCAAGCTGGCTGGAATGGTTGATCTGGAATGCTTCACATCCAGAGCAGGAGCACAGTGTGAAAATGCCATCCCACCTTTTCTCCTAGCTTTGCCTAGGGTTTTGAAAAGACCTTGAAAAATGAAACTGCATCATAATGGCAAGCAGCAAGAAGGACTGGAGAAAAGACAGATGGCCAGAAATTAAGGATTTGGTGCTATAAAACAGAAAGACAGATAAAGGAGTTTGTAAAGTGGTTTGTAAATTTTAAAAGAAGCTACTGAAGAAGATGCAGTTTCCACTGGAGTAAAGTTTCTTCTGGAGAGAAAGCAGTGTGGGAGCAGATCTACTCAGAGATGGCCACCACACTTCCATTTGTCTAAAATACCCTTTTAAACCTCTAAGCAGAATACCTGTGAGTGTTCTGGGGATTTTCTGCTCCTGTCCAGAGGTTTATTTGGGTGCTTTGATGTGTGTTGCAGAGCCACAAGGCATCTCCTGGGAGACCCCAGTGGAGGGCACAGTGAAGGGAGAATCCCTCATAGAGTCAGACTTGGGAGAACAGTCCCAGGAGCAGCAGGAGCACCAAGTGCAGTTAAAACTGACCATTGAAGATTTTGTCCTGCACAAGATGCTGGGGAAGGGCAGCTTTGGCAAGGTAAGAACTGGGACTGGGACACCACTGTGGGTATTTGCATGTTGCTTTGTGTGACATTAAATAGATCTGCTTTGAAGGGACACTTAGGGAAAAACATGGAATGGAATCATTTGGTTGGAATGAATGCAATCATTTAGCTTGGAAAAGACGTCCAAGGTTTTTGCATCCAACTGCTAACCCAGCACTGCCAAGTCCACCACTAACTGTCTCCCCAGGTGTCACATCCACATGTTTTTTGAGCACTTTCAGGGATGGTGACCCCACCACTTCCTTGGGCAGCCCCTTTAATGCCTGACCACTCTTCCAGTGAAGAAATTTTTTGTAATATCCCATCTCAACCTCCCCTGGAACTACTTGAGGCCATTTCCTCTTGTCCTGTCCCTGTTCCCTGGAGCAGAGCCTGACTCCCCCCGTCTGTCCCCTCCTGTCAGCAGCTGTGCACAAGGTCCCCCCTGAGCCTCCTTTGCTCCAGGCTGAGCCCCTTCCCAGCTCCTTCTGGTGTTCCAGCCCCTTCCCCAGCTCCATTCCCTTCTCTGGACATGCTCCAGCCCCTCAGTGCCTTCCTTGTAGTGATGGACCCAAAGCTGAATACAGGATTTGAGGTGTGGCCTCACCAGTGCCCAGTACAGGTCACTGCCCTGGTCCTGCTGCCACACAATGGCTGATAAACCTCCAAATCTTCAAAGAATCCTTGCTCTGGCATGGCTGAATCCTGAACTCCATCTTCTCCTCACCTTGTCTTTCTCCCTGTCCCGTTAGTTGCTCACTCATGACAGGACAGGAATGTCCCAGGCAAGGTTTCAATTTCCCCTTCTGTGCAGGTTGATGGATCCAGGATGTCGCAGACATCTTTTTGTGAAAATCCTTTCTTAGGATTTTTCCTGCTGAAGCGGGGAAGTTTCAGCAACAAAAGGTAAACAGTGATTATCTGCTGCTGTAGAATGCAACAAGTCCATCTGTGACTGGCCCATCTTAGATGTTTATAATTAATGGCCAATCAAGACAGAGCTATCTCGGACAGAGTCAGAGAGAGCTGCCTTTTGTTATCATTCATTCTTTTCTATTCTTAGCTTATCTAGCTTCTGAAGAAACCTTTCCTTCTATTTCTTTTTAGTGTAGTTATAATGTAATATATATATATCATAAAATAATAAATCAAGCCTTCTGAACATAGAGTCAACATCTCTTCCCTCATCCAAGAACCCCTGTGAACACTGTCACACCAGGATATCCCCAGAGAGCTGGGGAAAGGTCTCTGTACTCTCCCTCTTCACAGGGAGGTGGAAGCCTGAGCTGAGGAGCTGAGTGTGGATCAGCTCTGCTCTCAGAGCAGCAGGTCCCAGCTGGGAGCAGTAACTGCTCTTTCCAGCTCTGATCCGTGCGGGAGCCCAAAGCAAATTTTTCAGCAGCCAAGAATTTGTGCTTTTGAAATAAGAACCACCTATTTTCAGTGGATTCTTTAATCCTGGTGAATTGTGGATTGTTCTTCCCCATTGCAGGGGACTCGTGTTACCCAGTGCCAGCACAGAGCTGAGAGAAGCAATTTCAGAGGGATTCCCCATTGTGTTTTCACAGCCAATAAGGAGAAGTAATATGGATCACATTGCCCCCATCTCACATCTCTCCAAGGGGGAAACTGTGCCTTGACAAAGGGCTGCTTTTTGTCTGCTAAATGATCTGGAGCAATTGCTGCAGCCAGTTCCTCCCCTGGTGAAATATTTCCTGTGTTGGCCTTTCATACTAGAAAGTAACAGAATCATAGAATGGTTTGGGTTGAAAGGGACCTTAAAAGCCATCTATTTCCAGCTCAATGGATAGGGAAATTTTCCAGTAGAAGGTGTTGTGCCCACTTGTCATGTCCACAGTTTGCATGGGAGCCAGAGCTGAGGCATCTCACAGCTAAACCAGAGTACCCCAAACCAACATTCCAGACTGACCTGCAATCAAGAGTGTGGATATAATGGAAACATTTTAATTGGAAAGAAGGAATCTCTAGAGGTCTTCTTATCTAAACCATTCCTCAAGAAAGATCTAATGAGATGAGGTTGCTCAGGTGCTCATCTTGAATGCCACCATTGAAGCACGTTCTGTACCTTCTTTTAGCCCTCATGCTGACATGGACTCTGCAGGCTTCTGCATCTCTCTGAAGTGCACATCTCTCTGTGGGTGTGGAGAGGATGGGCCATTTTGTGCCTTTCTGAAACAAAAACTCACCCACGAGTTTCCTGTGCTGGTGTCACTCCTGGTGCCCTCATTTGCTTGGAGAGAGATTCACTTCCCCATAGAGGGGACAGGGTGTCACATCTCAGTGCCTGAGGGGTCTCTGTGTGATCCTGGGAAGCTGAGGAGCAGATCCATGGGGATATCTCCCATCACCCCCTCTGGATGGGGTCTGGCATTGCCTCCCTGCTCCTTGGGAGCCACAGCACAGGTCACAAAGGCAGCACATTCATTCCCCAGCTTCCCCAGGAGAGCAGTGCCCAGCACAAACATGAGGGTAAAAAGGGAGCCTGCAGCATCAGCACTGTGAGCATTTCTGGTCATTCAGTACAGAGACAGAGGGAGGCTCTACTCTCTGTCTGGTGCTACAAAGTGAAATGCAGCAGTAGCCAAAAGGGTAAATAAAACTTTTGTCAGGGCTAAAACGTGTCTGAGCTTACTCAGTAAATAGTGTCTGGCAGAGAACTTCAAAGACCTCTTTGAAGAGGTCTTTAAATAAATCTTACACATTTATTCAGTCTATAGAAACAGGGTCAGCAGGCTGTTAGGGTGAAGATCAGGACTGTCACTGCCTTCCAGGAGAGACTTCTTTGCTCTGTGGTCTCTAGAAACCCTTCCCTACTGCTCTGGGTTTCATTTTCCCTGCCTATAAAAATAGACAGAGGTTGTAACTCTTCTGGGAGGTGTTTTCCCATTCTCAGAGAAGAACTCCTGCAAAAGCACGGGACACCCAGCCTGTGTGCTCAGACCTGAAAACTGAGAGGAAGGAGAGAAAGACATCTGAATAAAACCAGTCCAGCTACTGGTGGACATCATTTTCCACCTGCTGAAGAGCTGGTGCAGGGTATTTGCATTTCAAATGCTGACACAGCAATATTCTATGTTTTATTATTTGAAGTCAGAAAACAGGAAATGTATCTCAGGAGCATTTGCATGAGGATGGTTTCTGTTATCAGAGGTGTTTGGCTCTCTGGCATGTCCTTTCCATCCAGGCATGTACCTTTCTCCTGTAATTGCCAAGATTTTCACATCCTTCTCTAGGGCTCAACTTTATAAAACTATTCTGTGTGGGTGGGGCAAACTCAAAGTCCTTATTGGCAGAATGGGGCCTTAAGCATCAAGGTTTTTAAGGTGTACCCCAGTGAATTCCCAGCAGCTCAGCTCCCACCCTCACATGGCTGTTCTGAGAGGAGATAATCCCTCTTTCTGAGCAGCTGTTTCCATTCCAGGTGTTCCTGGCCGAGCTGAAGAGCACAGACCAGTATTTTGCTGTGAAAGCCCTGAAGAAGGACGTGGTGCTGATGGATGATGACGTTGAGTGCACGATGGTGGAGAAGAGAGTCCTTTCCTTGGCTTGGGAGCACCCATTCCTCACTCATGTCTTCTGCACGTTCCAGACCAAGGTAAGACAAGCATCTGCCACCTTCTTCCACAGGCTGAGAATGCTTTACTGAAATACAGATGCTTGGTGAAGGGCTTCAGCCTGCTGGGGTCCACCTGGGACTTGAAGTGGTGCTCAGGGAAGGGATCTTCAGATTAAGCACTCAGAAAATAGCTCCAGAAATTTAATCTACTTTTCCCACATCAATCTGGGGATGGGATGGTGTATTTGAGGATTATGGCATCCAAGAGTCATTGAGGTAAAATCTGCTGTTAAAATCTGCATCTGGTACCCTGGGCCAAGGATGTGCCCAGGCCACAGCCAGGGTAAGGATGACACTGACTCCTCATGGAGTTATCTGAACCTCTTGGACCATGGAGCATTGTGCTGCAGCTAGCCCGGATCAAAGCCAACTCAAGAAACCCTGGTTTTGGAGGATAAACATGCTGTCATTCACTTCTTTGCCCCCAGTTGTTGTTAAATGGCATCAGACACTGGTGGTTCTGCAGTTCAGAGCTCCTGAAATCTCACTTGTGACTCCAAACTAAAACTGAAGTGATATTTAAGTAATACACATATTTCCATGGTCCTACATGCCAACAACTGCTCAGCTTCCCAGAGCCACCACCAACAGCCTTAACACCAAAGTACACACAGGGCATAGAAAGAAACCATGGAGGGCTTGTCTTTGTCCAACCTACTCAAATCATTCCTGAGAGGTGGTTGATATCTCTTAGCTCAATTTCAGAGCAGCACTATCTCATGGCTGCTTGTTCAGGGGTTTGTTTGGATGCCCCCAGTCCCTGCTCAGCCCCAGGGTTTGGTGGCACAAGGCCCTGCTCAGTGTAAGGTTAGGACCTGCTCAATGGGAGGTTCTTCTGCAGGGTCAGGAGAAACAAATACAACCTCTGTGGCACATCCCAGTCATCTGTGGATGTGCACTGTTTAAAGACAGGTTAAATTTATAACAGGGAACATCTGGGAACTGCTGTAGGTGATGTGGCACTGAGCCCAGGCATTCATGTTTAACCCCTTTGGGACTGACAGTGGGGATAATGTGTGCTGGGAATGAATCCTTTTAACTCCCTACTTGAGGAGGGCTGGTTTTCAGAAGAAAATATAAATGCCACAACTCCAAAAGCAAAGAAGACCAATATTTAATTGAAGAGATAAAACATTGACAGCAGTCACAGCTCTGTGAGGGAGTTTTTACTCCAGGGATTGCTGCCTGTATCTCCAGAGGGATGCTGACTGAAGCCAGCAGCAGAACCATGCTGTCTGTGCTCCAGCCTGGTCTGGGATGGTGCACCTGTAGGTTGTGATGGTGTTCACAGAGGTCTTAGGATGAAGGAAGAGATGAGAGGCTGATTTATTATTTTAGGATATATATTACATTAAAACTATACTAAAAGAATAGTTATATACTATATATATATAGTATATATATACTAGTGCTATATACTATGTACTATATACTATATATATACTAGTACTATATATATTAAAAATATTATATATATTATATATATACTGTACTATATACTTTTATAATAGTATATGTATATATATACTATATATATATACACACTAGTATAAAACTATACTAAAAGAATATATTATATTAAAACTATTCTAAAAGACTCCATCTTTCAGAAGGCTGATTTATTATTTTATGATATATATTATATTAAAACTATACTAAAAGAATAGAAGAAAAGATTTCATCAGAAGGCTAGCTAAGAACAGAAAAAGAAAGAATAACAAAGGCTTGTGACTGACCAGGCAGTCTGGACAGCTGGACTGTGATTGGCCATTAATTAGAAACCACCACATGAGACCAATCACAGATGCACCTGATGCATTCCACAGCAGCAGATAACCAATGTTTACATTTTGTTCCTGAGGTCTCCAGCTTCTCAGGAGAAAAAACCCTAAGGTAAGGATTTTTCATAAAAGATGTCTGTGACAGTAGGTCAGGGTCAGGATGGTGCAGCAGGGACAGTATGCAGTTCTGGGTTCAGGCAGTGCAGGCATGCAAGTGTCCCCTTCCCTCATGAGACCACAGCAAAAAGAGGAGAGGCCAAATGGAGTCGTGTTGGGATCCAGGTGGGATTTACTGACTGTTTAAGGGGAAAAACTGAAGGATGGCAAAGCAATGAGTGCCTGAAAGATTCATGGGTGCCAGGCTAGAAAAGCCAGATGATTTTTTTTCAGCACTTCAGGGCAGCAGCACAGAATTGCCCTCCTGTCATGGACAAAGAATTCTCATCCAATCTCATCCCAAGCCATCCCTGCCTCTTTAAATCTGTGTGATCTCCCCATCTTGGCTCCACAGAGAGAGAGGAGCTGGGATGGGGCTGCCCAGGCCAAAGCTGCTCTGGGCTCTGGTTGATTTTCTCCCCTGTATTTTCTCCCCTGACCTTTGCAAGCCAGCAGGGATCACTCAGGGCAGGAAAGTCACCCAGAGCTGGGAGCTGTGACAACCTTGGATGGTCCTCCAGGGCTCAAAGCACTGTGACTGTCAGAATGTCTTTTATGGCAATTGTTTTAGGATCATGGAATGGTTTGGATTGGAAGGGACCTTAAAAATCACCTATTCCCATCCCCCTGCCATGGGCAGAAGCCACAGCACTGCTGTGTAGAGTCCCTCTAAGGATTTTAATATTGAAAATATGACATTTTTTTATTTCTTGGAGTTTCACTGGATAGATAAGTAAACAGAAACACATGTGCCAATGCCTTTCTGAATCCCTCATGCTTTGGCTTCCTGAGCTGCTCCAGGTGCTGTGTCTCTGCAAAGGACAGTAAAAACAGGAATATTCCTGCACCAAAGCAAGGACCTCAATAGTCCACATGTTTCCAGAGGGGGAAAAATTCCTTAATCTGTTGGCAGCTCTCTGAGCTCTGGGATGAGTTTTTTCCTCACCTCCACCCAGGTAATGAGTGACTGCTCAATTATATAAATCTGGATGGCTCTTCAGACAGGTTTTTTGGAGTCTGAATGATCAGTGCTTTCAAAACTCTGAATACTTTTCATGTTTTATTGCATGAGAATAAATGCAAGCCCAGAGTGTTTGGGGTTTTTTTTTTTTGTCCAATCTCTTTTTGAATTTTTCTGTTTTATTTTACTGCAGTCATCTTTGTATCCAGATATTCAGCTGGCATAATTACATACTCTGAATTTTAACAATAAGCTCAAAGAGCTATTCTGCTATTCTGCTGTATTAGATTTAAAGGGATGCTGTTATGTTAAAGAGGAAGAAAAATATGTTTATAATTCTGTGAAATCCCAAAATCAGTAATGCCAAAAGAGTGACTAGGCATCCCAGAGCTTATGTTTTATTCGTTTTTGCATTTCACTGATCTTCTGCCATAAAAATAGGCTTCCCCTTTTTGAAAGTCACTTTTATTTCTGTTTCTTTACCTCATTGACGAGGTTTTATTAACACCCTTTACCTAAATGCAAATTAAATGTTGAGGCATTTTGACTTGCAGCAAGAAATAGCAACAGAGAAGATTATCTCAACCCAAAAGAGAAGTAATCGTTACTGCAATTTAAAAGAAAATGTTACAGAAATGTTTATTTTCTGCTTTAGTGTTGTATTATATTTTTTTCTTCTGGTGGTGAGCCTTTTTCTCATCCTCTGTTGCCCTTGTGTGCTTAATACTGACTGAACAATCTCTTACACTGGCAAGAAGGAGAAAAGAATTGTAAAAGAAGCGTGGTCGTAATTTGAAAATTCTTTGTTTTCCATGAGTATTTTCAGATTTCTCAGTAAAATATCTCCTCAGAGGTTACTTCAATTCCTGAAATTATTTTTTTTCCAAGCATGATTTCAGTTTTCTTCTTTCTCTGACTGGCTTTTGAGGGGCAGGGCTGATTTCTTTGCCCTGAATCAGAGCATGGGGTTGGCATGGGGGCATTTCAGACCCTTTGGATGTTCAGCTCCTCTGCCTGGTGGTACCATGGATCTCCTGAACATCCCCAGCTCCATCCTTCTGCTTTTTCTTGGAAATATCTGTCCATCCCTGTAGCATTCTGAGTACTTTGAGCTTGGAAAAAAGTCTGATTCAAGGCCAAATTTGAAGCAGCTGATGGGAAATTTTAGGAAAGCTCTGAGGATTTTTCCTCTTGCAACCAACAGGCAGGAAAGCTGGCAAGGTCTTGTTGTTGGATCCTGGCCAAAATTTCAACGTGGTTTAGCAGAAATAGCAACATCTTAGCAGAGCTTTGGGATTTCTACAAGGTTGTGCCAGAGGAGGTGTGAGCAGCTGTAATTAAAATAACAAACGTGAAGTTTTTGTAAGACACTTCTAGGTGATGTCAGCCCATGTGGTGTGAACTGGGGGAAGGAATTGGCCAGAAAAAGAGGAGGATAGCTCAGCAGTGGGGGTTTTTAAAGTAAAAGATGATTGCCATATTCAATACACATATTGTCATTGCCTCCCCATTGTCCAGCCTGAGGAAAATCAGCCCAAAATGCCTGAGATTTCTAAAAATCTGCAGTCTAGCTGCACTTTATCCTGAAAAAAAATTACTTCCTAAAATAAAAACATTTAAATTTTTTTCTGTTTTTCAACTGCTAAAATATTTACTTTTCGTGGATTTGGCTAGTTTTTGTTTCATTTTTGGTCTGGTGATTTTATTTTTTTTTTTAATCCACAAAACTTCAGACAAATCTTTCTCTAGCCTTGAGAAAATCAGTCTCTCCCCAAGATTCTGCTGGACACTGATAGGGAAAAGCACTTCCTCTTGCAAGGCCTGGGCTGATGGTGCCTCAGTTTATCAGTGAGTGATGGGCTCTGTCTGCTCTGAGTGTGAGGAAAGGTCTGGGGATCTCAGAGCTCCAGTGGAAGCCAAGTCTGCACCTTCCTCTCTGCAAATGTGTTTTATTTATGTGTATAAATATATTCCTGTGCTTTGCACCAAGCAGATGGGCACACCATGCTGAGCATCCCAAATGAGCAGCTCAAACAGCCAGGAATGCTGAGAGTGCAAGGATTAGAGCAAGGAATAAACAC